CTTGTAGGAGATTGAAGAGGAGGGACAATTTGACCATTTCTGACATAGGCCATCTGATGCAAACCGACAGTGTTAAACTCGAGGCCAAGATTAAGAATCTTGATCTGTTTCAACGCATTCTTGAAAGATCCCAATACTGATTTCTCCAACTCAGCTTGATAATATTGAACATTGGCTTCGACCTCTTTCAATTTACTTTCATTCCACTCATACAAAATCTTAAAATCCTTTAATGATTGAACGTTATGGGAATGGAAAAGCTCAAGAGAAGTATAATCAGACTTAGAAGTTTTTAAATCCTCCTTTACTTGAAGGAGTTCTTCATAAGTCTTAGCCTTCTCCTCCCTGACGGCCTTCATCTCAGCAAGTGTCCTGACATATTTATTTTTCAAGGAAAGCAAATGCCTCGCCAGAGAAGCCATGTTCATAGTATTCAGTTCAATCGTCTCTAATTCCCTAACCTCGGCAGGGGTAAAAGGGATAGAGCTGAAAAAAAGGCTAAGAGGAAAAATGACATCACAAAAATCATTGGTAACTCCAGCTTGCGAAACGAATTTTTTGGAGAAACCAGAGGGAGTCAGAGCAGGATGGGCCTAGTTGGTAGTTGCTAAAGCTTGTTCAGAAGCCGAGATATCTTTATCAGCCGGGGTCCCCTTGGACTTATCCCCAGCAACAGGTTTCTTGGTCTTGGAGTCAGGAGCTTTCCTCTTCCGAGTTGTTAGGTCGATAATCGCGATCTTTTGCCTCGGTTCAATGTGGTCAGGAAACTTGGCTGTTCATCTGGGTTCCCCTCCATATCTGGAATTGCAAATAAAAAGCAATGGAACCAGGTTAAAATGGAATATTATACTATAGATATCACATAAGCAAATAAGTGGAGAAACCATACTCATTTCCAAATCCAACTCCTCCTGAGATTTGAAAATGAAGGATGCCACGCTAGCATAGCCATGCGATTTGACATATGCAGCCATGGAAACAACTGGGTTGACCTCATTATCAGTCGACTCGGTCTCCTTGAAAAGGTAACTTGAAGGAGGAAAATTGTAATGGTCAAAAGACCAATATAAGGGAAATATTCCCTTTGCATCCTCTGAATCAGAGGAACGAAGGAACCAAGGTTCTTTTCCAGGTTGGGCAGTGACTTTAAAGAATTTTTCTTCAAAGTTCTTGAAAGAATTAGAATAAACGTGGAAAAGCTTGCGTGAGGGATGACCTCAGATATTAGTCCAACCTTTCCTTTCTGGAGATTCACAACTAGTACAAGATGTAATGGCTTGGAAGTAGAAAAAGAAGATAGAAGTTGTGCAAGGAAAAGTAAAATATGCACAGAAGCGCTTAAATGCTTTAACAAAGCCCCAACTATTGGGGATGACTTGAGTGGGAGCTATATGGGATGGTTGAAGATGCAAAATTGAAATTCGATTAAAGGAAATCGAATATCGAATTTAGTGACACGATCTCGATAAAAGAAGAAAAGAAAAGGCTCATCCAGATTCCTCCCTAAGCAAACCGGCTCATTTTCATGGGGAGAAACTATATCGTAATTTTCAAAGTTGCCGACATTGAGCCCGATTACGTCTTCCATTCTTATATTGGATAATGTGCTTAAAAATTCATAAGCCAACCCAGGATACTATATTGGGCTATTAAGGCGGCATGAGGAGACTCGGAATCTGACTCAGCAGAAAGAGACTCCTCCGCAATCTCTGACGGAGATGACGCCATAATACCTAAAACAAAGAAAAGTATAATCAAAAGAAATGGGTAGGCATACCTGAATCAAAATAGCTACTAGTTAAAGAATCACTAGTTGATAAACTTGCAAATTTATCCGAGATTGAAATCAGATCATTTACAACACCAAAAGCTGATGTAGATCCCGGAACATCTCCATGGTGATAACTCGACAAGGTAGACTCGGCTAAAGAGTAACACCCTCTCTCTATAAGTTTGTAACTTAAGAAGACACAAGAATAACAAGGGCCATCCTGTTTAGGCTTTACAAATCTCGGGGGAACCTGAGAAGAAGATGATACATCTGAGTTTGGATGGAAAATAATATGAGAAGGGTTTCTGCAAGTTCTAGAAAAATATTGGGAGATACGTCTGTTTACAAAAGGACGACCTCTTCCCCGCGTACTCATATCTAATGACTCATATATCTAATAAATAAGAGCTGTTGGATATAAATAGGATCAACAATCACCGGTGTAGAATGATCCTAACCTTAAATAAGCAATTTAGAACAAAGTAATAAAAAATGGGGTAGGTAACACTAAGAAGTTAGAACCGCTTTTCTTTTATAATTTCTTACAATATTTTTTATTATTTATAAATCAACAGCTATCACTTAATGTATTTTGTAACTGTTGATTTGATTTTGATTTATCGATAAACAAAAATGGTTATAAAAGATTGCAAGGGAAAAGTGATGGTAAATATAATCTCCTTCATAAAAAAAATATGTTGAAACTAATCTACATACATTCATACATAT